AAAAAATGAAGAAATTACTTTCGCTATCCATTTTTACTTTAATATGGTGACTAATACTGTCAATTTATTAAAATATTTACTTTGTGAAAAAGTTATGCAGATTATATGCTCAAAATAAAGGCAGAGCCAGATGTACAAATAATAAAGAAATGAATATATGTGAAACGTTAGAGAGTTAAGTGTAGAAGTCTAAACAAAAATATTTTGCCGTTCTACAAATTGTGCGTATGTGTGCTTGAAATATTAATACTGTAGTAAACATAAACACATCATTAAACACTACTACATCAAAATCGCACGCATACATGTACAAATCATCGATAAAACAGCGATACTATGGAGCGAACTCCGCACGGTCTTCGCGCCAGCATCCCTTTAAAACTTCATAACTTTTGTAGGAAACTTTTTTTTTCAAAAATGTACTTTTTACGACATATTTAATCATTGCAGTATATTTTTATTGTATATCATTTAATTAGAATATACATTTTTTTATTTATGCATTATAATAGATATTTAGAAATATATAATAATCGCCTGTTTCATTTAAATAGAATATGCACTTTTTTATTGCATTATAACAGATATTTAGAAATATAATCGCCGATTCTTAATAATTGTTGTTAGTTTTAAAATAAAGAATTCCTTGTCTGCAAAAAATACATAGATTACATATTATATATGAATTTGTAATAACATATAAATACTATATAAAATTAAAAATAAGAAAGATATTAATTAATATCTTACGCATTTGGGCTTGCGCTGTATCCAACGCGATACTTGTTCCCGTTCCAGCATTCCGGAGAATCTTCACATGAAGTTATTTCACATGATGAGGCCATATATTTGTTAGGATTCTTCACCGTATTTGCATAATACCTGATTGCTGCTTCGTGACTACAGAAATCTTATGATAACAAAATAAATTATTAGATCAAATAATAAATGATTTTATTCTTTGAAACTTTATCTCACGTTCGATGCGATGTAACTTTTTAATTTTATTTTCCATGAAATTATAAAATACTCGAAGAGGTATTTAATTTACTACATAACCGATAAAATACATATATATCTTCATATCTATTTTTTGACACATATTTTCAAAAAATTCTTTTAACTTTAATTGTTGTTAGTAAAAATTACTATCGAATAACTGTTCAACGAGGACTAAAAATTATAATATTCATTGTGATTTGACGATACCATATTTAATCACTTTGATGGTTACCAGAATTGAGAAATGCATTACTTTGTTACGTTGTTACCGTTACTTTTTTATAGTAACGAATTGGTAATGACTATATCTTTTTATTCGTAATAATAACGCAAATGCAGTTATATTTCTTGGATAACAGTACCAAAAACATAATCGTTATTTTTATCGTTACTTTGTACACGTATAGTACATGTATGGAACGTGCATAAGAAAGTTTTAAAAAACTGTTACGTTCGATCATGTTGCGATTAAACATTACCACTATAAATCTCATATTGAACTAATCAATTAGTATTATAAACAATTGGATGTGACGTTCTAAAAAAAGAGTAATCAAAATTCAATAAAAAGTAATTGAAATTGTAACAACTTCGTACTTTTGAGGAACGAATTACATTTTCCAATGATCAACGAGTAATTTTTAAAAAAAACTTTCCCAACCCTGATTATTACCTTCAGGACTCAACTGCTTAGAGCCTTCCGACGCTGGACAATCGCATTGATCACGTTTGCCATTATTTGCGACATAATGCACACTTGCTGTCAGTTGATTGAAATTCGCGCCATATTTAGTCATGTCCGTATGAATCATTTCGACCCGTCGCGCACACTTAGATGAAATATAGCACCCCTTGCATTCAGTATGAGCAGGACTCGCAGGATCCAATACTTTACAAACGATAATTTTATTTTGAAGAACATTTTAGAATAGTAACAAACATTTTAAAGTTACCCGCGTGTGCATTGTATAAAACTATAGATTAAAGATTCCTTGGCGGATTTCTTGCCAACTTTTCGTTAATGTAGCCGTTAATAATAAAAAGCAAATAAAAAATATTATTGCAGTTTAGGATCAATTATTAAAAATAACAGAAAACATTAAATATAAAAATGAAACAAACATGTTTTAAAGATGTAAAATAATTTAATTATGTACCTGTTATGTGGGGTATCTTGAAGTTATTACATCTACCAGCGAAACTAGCTATGTGTGAGCCCACTGAAAACCCGAGGATACGCACTCTGTTTAAGTTGAGACCGGCTTCCTTGAGTGTTTTTATACTTTTAGCGAACTGTCCTCCTACTTTTTGGGCATTTTTGAAAACTACGTTCTTATAATCGGGATCATGAGAATGTTTGCCCCAATCAAGTACCACAACATTGTCCTTTCCTCCATCACAGAGCGCTAATTACGCAAACAAAGAAGGATGTTAAAAAAGGGCCGATTTTGGCCGCCAAAAATATAAGTAAAAACAATAGTATTTTTTATAGATTTTGATCTCCTGAATACGATATAAAACCATTAAAAAGTTCGTAGCGTTTCAAACATAAACACAGCGTATTTAGCAAAGACGCTGTGTTTATGTTCAATTTTCAAGGTGTTCCCCAAGCGCTACGAACTTTTTAATGGTTCTATATCGTATTCAGGAAATCAATATCTATAAAAAAGACTATTGTTTTTACTTACACCTTTGGAGATCGGAAGAGCACACGTC